TTTAGCAAAATCAACTGCATTACCAGTTCAGTCTTCTTCTGGAAAAAAAGCTGGACACTGATGCTTGTTCTGTGAACATCAAGAATTTTTTTTCCTAATCAATTTTGGTCGAATAAAATTGTTTTCTTTACCATGACTTCGGCTGCGATATACAACAAATTGGAGCGGAGGGAGCCGCGCTGACAACTAAATCTTTGAAGCAGTTTCCAAAATATTTTTTTGATTGAAGTAGAAAAAAAGTCCAACTTTCGAAAACATTCAATTGTTAAGCTGAGTAATTCTAAAAGTTTCAGTTCAACGTATGTTCGAAATTCTAAATTTCCCAAAAAAATAATCCGAGCCCTGAACTCAGGAAGCGCGTTTTGTCAAAAAAAACCTGCGTATAATTTTAAAAAATTATTCCAGAAACATTTAATTAAGAATTTTACGGGAGTTATTGCAGCATTTTTGTTGTATGAGCAAATTTTACCCAATTTGCTCAAAATGTACCTCTATACACAGAGGCGAAGCAGAGCTTCGCATTACTTACAATGCAACATACTCATTAAAAAGCATAAGCCGAAAAAAATAAATTGAAAAAAATATAGGTGAACCAAAACTTTGGTATGCCTTGATGATGGACACTTAGGGCTCAGCTAAAGCGGGTGGTACTCGATTTTGTTTTAATTTTGTTAAATTGATGCGGGACGAAATGCGTCATTTCAAAAAATGTTTTTCTTCTAAATTAAGTAAGAGTAATGAAAACTTTCGAGATTTTGGAATTTTTCTCAAAAACCTAAGCTTTCTTTTACCAAAAATTGAAGAGTAGATGCTTCTGAAGGAAAAATTCGCGCAACCTCTTCATTCGTGTGAATTTTTTATGTCAGATTTGATAGGGTAGTTTTTATGAAATTTCAAAAAGTTTTTAAAAAACGTCAAGTCAAAAACTTGACTTTCCGAAACGAGTAACTTATTTCTGCTAAAATCAAGTCGTGACCGGTAAAGTAGAGAAGTTTCCCAAAATCGAGTTTCTCGATTGAATACTTAACCTGAGGATTGGCACGGTAATTTTCGAATAGAGTATTAAAAAACTCAAAAACGTTCTAATTTTCAAAATTTTTACTAGTTTGATAGATTCAAGGACATGAATTTTTTTCTATGAGAAAAAAAGTAAGCTCACCGTTGGGTCGATTAAACTTATATCAAATTTTTGGCGATAGTTATCCAGAAAAGTCTAAAAACGGCCAATAATTCAGATAAGAGTTTTACGATTCAACAAACATTAAAAAAACGTAATTAAAAAAAATTGAAAAATGTTGACGCTAGCTTTAGCAAAAATTTTGTATGTCTTGATGAATGTTTATTCTAGGCAAACATGCCATTTAAACCAATTGATTTTTACATGAGCAACAGAACAAAACTTACAACAAAACAAAAGCTAGAACAAAGCTATCGAAGCGGAAACAAAGCCGGTAATCTTTGAGCAGACAGAGCAACAGAACAAAACTTATGAATATGGAACAGAACAAAACTTAGCAACAGAACAAAACTTAGCAAGCTGAAAAACAAAGCCGACAATCTTGAGCAGACATCAGCCGTGCCAAAAAAAATGATTTTGTACGAAAGATGTAAGTCCCCAATGAAACTACAATAAAAAAAATTGCAACTTCAACGAAAACTGCTCATAGCAAAAGAAAAATCCCTGATGAGGCAACTAAGCCGACACAATTTGAGGAGACACTAGAAAGTCCGAAAAAATAAATTTTACCAGGAAAAAAAATCAATTTATACATACTGACAAAAACAAGGTGCTGCCGGGACTAGAACGCAGACCTTAGGGTACAGAGGACCCACCTTTCCTCTACGCCTAGGGACAACGAACCTAGAAGTTGTAATGAATCAATAGTTCAATTTCCTACAGATTTTTAAGAACCTTTATTCAAGGGGAAATAACAAAAGATACAGTAGATTCAAAACCAAAACAGGCAAAAACGCCTTTAAACTAAAATTTAATTAATTACGAAGTGCAAATATGAGACTTAATTTTATTTATACCAAGTTTTAAAATCAACATTTGGTGTCTAAAGTTTCTGAAAAACGAAAGAAAATTGAAAGTTGAGTTTGATTTTGTTTGGATTTTGAATAGCTACAAACGCCATTATACACTCTGATCCTTTTGGCACTTCGTGACATGATCAGTTTCAACCAACTATCTAATGTTCAAGAATCAAACTGTTTGTCTCCTGAGTCAACAGGCAGTTCCACGTTGTATAACTGACTTCAACACATGCTAAGTGCACGGATCCGAAGACTTCCATGTGCTGCAGACTGTACACTAAGGATTTTGGCCTAAATGTTTTTCCGATTTCCCATAAACTGCAGAAGTCAGTTGACCTACACCGCACAAAAGTTTTCCAATTAAACAGAAAACTCCGCACAACCTAGGCTCAGGTATTTTATTTGACAGTTTTTGGGAGTCAAATTGAAGTTATTTTTTCCCTTTCACACTAGAAAAAGGATTGAGTATGAAAAAATGATTTTATGTGAACACTATTTATAGATATGCTTCATAAGAGTTGTGGGTTAAAAATTTTATCAGAACCTCGCTCAAGATGTTCCACCATATTAATTTTCCGGAAGTTCTTTTTTTTTGTCTTCGTCATTTTTGTTTCAAATGAATCCAATTTGAGACAAATGCTATTCAACTTCATGTTTTTTACTTGTTTTGTCCAGATAATTTAAATCGGCACTATACAAGTTGACTGAAACTAACATTTTAAGAAGCCAAATATAGGATTTTCGAATTTCCTCGAAACATTCGCGATCGTTAACTATTAAGCGCGACTGATGTAAAAAACGTAAGCCTAATCAAATAACCAAGCTTTGCCCAAAAACACAAAGACGAAAACCAATTGTACATGGTGACTGCAGAAACTGAGCAGTGGGCTTAATAAAATCTTTGAACACTTTTTTTACAATAAACCAACTTCAGTTATTTGATATCCCAGATCTGAACAAAAAAGCTTTTTATCAAGAATTTGAGATCAGTAACAAAAGTATAGCCAGCATGCAGTTGAAACAGCTCAATAACTTCATGAAAACAAAACAATATCTTTTTACTGTTTCCACTTTTTTCATTGAACCTTTGTAACAACTCAAACAAAACAACGCAAACAAAATTATAACAGCTACCGCTGCTGAAAAGCAAGTCTTCGTGTCCTTTTACACTTCTTTTACCAAAAATTGAAGAGTAGCTGCTTCTGAAGGAAAAATTCGCGCAACCGCTTCTTTCGTGTGAATTTTTCATCTCAGATTTGATAGGGTAGTTTTTATGAAATTTCAAATAGTTTCATCAGAATTCGCTCTTATAACTTACATACCTATGCTACCCATGCATTTTTTTTCAGGCTCACTAGCCGCCACCTAATCTATTTGTAAACTAGATTTTTTGAAAAGCTTACAAAAAATCTCACTAATATAGTGAGCGGAAAGCCATAGATGACCCCCCCCCCCCCCACACACACACACACACTCACACAAAGTTCACCATTGAGACAATGAAAAATCTAGAGCAAAACTGACTTTTCCGCTCAACTATGCGAACACTTGCGAATATTATATGAATAAGGTAGACCCAAACGTTCTCCCAAACTGCCTAGCTTTCATTACAGCTCTGCATCGTTTTAAGTGTCTAAAAACCCAATAGAACTGTGGCTCTGGACAAGCTCGCGACGTTCCGGATGCTCAACGAGAGCATACCGGACGCTCCCCAAATGTCTGCGGCGCGGTAGAGCAACAACAACTACAGGCCACAATATAAGATTCTACTTCGCCTCTGAATTTATTTGGCGAAATATCGGGCTAATAGCAACATAGTGAACTGACATTTGCAAATGAGAACTGACATTTCTCAGTTCAGCATCAGTAGACTCAAAATAGCCGCCCACACTCCTTGACCGGTCATACGATGCCCTTCAATGAAAACCCGAAGTTTTGGGGAATTAAACTCGACAGAGGATTAACCGTGCGCCACATGTCGAGGACATAACCCAAAAGGCTTTAAGCTTCTAGGAGCTGTCAGCAGCAAAAACTGGTACATTGACAGTCTACATCATTGACAGTTTACACCGATGGATTGGCATACAACTGTCTGGAAAACAGAGGTTAAGCAGCCATTTTCACCAAAGCTCAGGCAAATGCCCCGTCAATAGCTGGTACTGTTAAGAAAGGTGGCAGGGCAATTACCTCATCGTAGGACGAAGAGAAAGCCGCGTTGCTCGCAGCCATACTAAAAATTAGAACTGACTATCAGACCAAATCAAAAGTGCTGGACTGCACTGATAGCCAATTGTAATGCAAGTCACTGAAGTCAGGGTCAGCAGACACTAGAGTAATTAGAGAGTACTTGGACAGTAGTAACCAAGAAATTACTCTACAGCGGATCCCCGGATACTTCAACGTCATAGGAAATGAGCTTGCTGTCGAGGAGGCAAAAAGAGCAGCTGAAGACACCACACCCAACGTCCCCACCAGCTGCCCTTGCATGTATCAAACGAACACTACGGGATACGCCGCCACCGCACCACAGTCAAAGCCGCCTACGCCGGCTACTCAGAAAAGCAAGACCGCCAGCAGGTGAAATGCAAAAAGGACTCCACCCTAATAGCCCAACTACATTCAGGCCACTTACGGCTCTAGGAACGTACGCGCACCTCATGGATGGACCCTACGGCAGACCCCATGTGCCCATCCTGCAACGAAACAGCTCACACAGTCGAGCATTGGATAGAATGACAATCCACTTTAACAGCCTACAAAGACCTTTTCAGAAACACGATGCCAAACCAAGAAATCTTAGCAGAAGAACCCGCCCAATCGCCAAATAGCCCACACACACACACACACACGCACGCACGCACACACAGACACCTTTACACGCACGCACACACACACATACACACACACACACACACAGCTGGACCAACTTTAGGGCGATTCCACTCTGATACTGAATCAAAAAGTAAAGTAGAAAACTTGAATTATGGTAAATTCTGAATGATCTTGAAAATACTATATGAGGTAAGTTGCTTCCCAGTAAACTTTTAATCGATTTCTATGCAACTTTGAGAACAAATTAGCTCCGATTTGAGCCACGCATTCAACAAAAATCAATAGCGATCAAAGTTACGTTTATTTACATTTACAAACTAAAAATTCTTATGAATTTGATATGCACGTGATTTGATAAGTAAATTTCGATGTTGGCGACTGGCAATCAAATTTGGAAAGGATCATAAAAGACTACGTATATCAAAACCTAATGTAGTTATAACACAATTTGATTCCTCTAAAAGACAATCTTTCATCTTATAAAAATATGAAGCATACTAGATAAGTGTTAATGAGTTCAAAGATTAATAATTTTCTTGATATCATTGTCTCAGTCTAAAAAAACGGGCAAATAGTGATGTTTATTCTATTAAATGAATCCTCTTGAAAAAATAAACCTAAGGAAAACCTCAACAATCAGTAAACAGTTTGCTCATTGACACTTAATTAGCAAGGTTTGATTTGACACAGCGTACAAATTATGTTATTAGTTGATTAATTTCCTTATTTACAAATAGCTTGAAAATACTCATTCGGCACAACTGTTGACATGGATATGGTTTTTGCAGCAAAACTTGCCAGCATTATAGATATTAAGCACGGTTTTTCCATTTTGGAAAACAAGTCAAAAAGAAAAGTAGGCCTCAGATAGATTCAAGCAAAAGCTTCAAGATTGTACAGAAAACTACGGATGCAATTAACTGGAAAGGTGAGGGGGGGGGGGGTTGAAGAGATCTATGAGTTGAAGAGATCTATGAAGGCCAAATAATACAACTGTTTATAAACATGCTTCAGAATAGAAATGAAAAGAAGACACTGATAGAAAGGAAAGAGTAAGCAGAGTTTATACAAGTTCACTGAGCTCAGTTGTCGCTGTCGTGACCAGCAAGGCAATCAGAGCCTGTTGAAGTCTGCCCACTTGTTCTTCCAGCTGCCAGGTGCCTCTTTGGCCTGGTGTCTGGAAGCCTTCACCATAGACCTGGCAGACTGGATGTCCAGATTCAGCACACCCTGCCCCCCATCGGCCTCTGAATTATTCGGTGGGTGCTGCTGGTTAAGGCTACTGGAGGCCACTCCGGCGGAATGGTTATTGGAATGATGTTCGTGGATCTCGTTCGTTACTTCCACTTCCACATTCACATCTTGTCCATACCTGTTCCACTCCACTCCATTCGTCTCGGAGATTTCGTTGGCACCTCTTTGTTCTGCAAAAACAAACAACATCTTTCTTTCACAACATGATCATGTAGTTGCTGAATTTGGTTGGAATGCGAATTGGATTGAATATTGAAGGAACCGGTAAGCATGATACACTCAATCAGACAATACACATCACATCGCGTGGGGAATCAGAACAGGCAATAAAAGTAAGCAACATCAACCAAATGGACAAAACCACTTCAGGTCCATTGCTTTGATGTTTCTCGAATCAAACAGCAACACAAGTACAACAAAACATTTGGGCATAATAGACCATATTTAACATTCGGGACATTGGAAACGTTCTGTACACTAAGGGCAGACTACCATGAAAGATTTTCAGCTAAGTGCGAAAAACTTACAAAGGGCTCAAAAGAAAATGTATTTTGCATGTTTCAAGTAAAGATTTATATCTAAGCTGAATGCAGTCAAAGCTGACAACACAATCTTGCGCAAAAATCTGAACAAATTTTGACAAAGTGCCTTCTAATCTCTGCTAGAAAAAATAATACTGTGCTGTCTAAATGAAAGCGAAGCAGCCGGGCGGGCACGCAGACAAACTCTAAGAAGACGCCGTGCCAAGTTCAGCTATCGCGCTTTGCTATTAGCGCAATCAGAAGAAATCACGAATGATTAATGATACAGGCTCAATATGGCTTTGCAATGGTCAATTGAGCCTTACTACTGCTGTTGTATCTGAAGTTCTCTGGGACTGGGAGCACCACTTTCACGCCCAACTTGGACGCCATGTCCAGATTGCGCAGCTGTCTCTTGATGCGCTGCTGATCCACCGAAACAGCTAACATACCAACCAAATTACACAACGATCCAAATAAACCCCATTTGCAATACATTCATATCATGCTTGACTTAGGATTTCAGCAGAACTTGGATTTCACAGAAAGTATAAATTATAGATATCTGCCATTATGAATTACGTGACACGCAACTCAAAACATCAGAATGAAATACATGGGACGCCTCACAGTTGGAGAAGTGCAAATAAACAAGAAAACCAAAAAACTTCATTTTTTAATTAAAATTTTCATTTTTATGACTGACACGTTTTTAACAAAGAGAAGAGGTTAAATGGAGAAATTAAAAAAAATATGCAGATAAAAAAACAGCGATTAAATTATTATTTATACAGTCCAAAATGTCTGAAGTCTGAACCATGTGTTCGACCAAATTTTCAATTATGATAAATAAAAGCAGATCTCATTCAGAAACATAACAAAGAAGAGATATCATTATGCAAACTTATCCAATATGCAGCTAACAGGGTTCTTCTTCCAAAATTCACATTCAGAAAATGACATTAACAGAAAAAAATGCATTTTCAAATTGATGTGGAAAAAATTTGAACATAGCCAAGTGACAGTTGGAAAAGAGTCAATGAATACAATTAAACAGAATTTTTTTTTGAAAAAGTCTCTCAACTTTCGATTTTGTCAGAAAAAATAGATGGCTTTAAAGCTCTTTGAATTTCTAGAACAATTTGAAAAAACTGGATCAATGGGTTTAGTTTATATTTCGCTGGGAAATCTGATAATTAAATTCCATTTTCGAAGTTAGAAGCCGATCACTTTTGTGACCTTTACACTTTGGCTGCTCGATAAGGGGATTTCCCTTCCTTTAAACAAAGAAATGAACTGAACTTAAGACACAGAGCGAAGCTGAGCTTTCGATCACTTGCAATACAAAACAAAAAAGCCACTAAGTCGAAAAAAAATTCGATATGGTCGAAATTCGAAATCTATCAAAAAAGGCTAGTTTTGAAACAAAAACATGCCAAGACAAAATACTGTAAAATTAGCAGCGATCGAAAGAAAACTCACCAAGAGGCAAGATAGAAGAAACCCTTTGAGCCGAAAAAAAATTCAACAAGACTTAAGATTTTTTAAACATATTGAGTCCCCCTCACCCACACTCACGCAAAAAAATTTATTCGCTCGTGAAAATGAGACGACTAAGCAGATATAATAGATGCCGAAACCTATCCAGCCAAAAACTAATAGGAAAAACAAAAAAAGCCAAAAACTTGGACTTATCAAAAGTTATCAAGTCCCCCTCGCCCTCGAAACACACACGCGCACACACACACACACACACACACAAGAAACCTTTTCGCTCGTATAACGACGCAAAACGAGGCCACTAAGCCGATATAATATGGGCCGAAACCTATTAAGCCAAAACAAAGAAAAGTAGAAAAAAAACAAAAAATTTCAACAATTCTAGTTACCACCAATGTAAAAAGCAAACTTCAATTCGGCCAGAGTTTTTAAAGGCTAAAACAGTAAAAGAACTACAGTGAAAGATGGCTGCACCAAAAATAAACAAATCTCAGATCTGGCAACTAAGCCGACAATACATACGCAGACAAATAATAGCCTTCAAAAAAGTATGCAGGAGACAGTAAAAAATGAATTAATTGTAAACCAAGGTACCACCAGTAGTCAATGAGTCCTGAGAACAAAAATACTCACGGGAAAAAGTCTAATACCCGATTGCAATACCTTTGCTCATCCCAAGCGTAAAGAGAAATCAATATCCAAATGCCAAAAAATAAATTGAGCCTCAAGAAATTTTAAGACTTTTATTGAGAAAAAAAAACAAAAAAAGAAATCATCACGATCTATTTTTTAATAGTATGAACTACGTTCAGTGACTCTAAATATCGAACACTATGTTGTCTCAATTACTATTTTGAAACATCCGAATTCAAGGAATTCAAGTAACATATTTTTCATGGTTCAATTGTTTGTTTTGTGAACAAATTAGGCGAGTCTTTCAGACTAAAGCCCCTAAGTAAAAAAACTATCCTAGAAAAATTTCACACGCTTGTCGCAAATTAATTAAAACTTGAAGAAAGTACTCCGAGAAACACAATCGAAATCGCTACATTAGCTCTCAGGTGAACTTAATTAGAGTAACTTAGACGCCAACACGTGGGTAGCCGTTCGTTGAAAAAATCCAAAAACATGTTCGCAAAGAAAACTTAAAAATTTGAAGCTTATCCTGCACCCCAAAGTACACCCTCATTGAATTCACTCCCATCAAATGACAGAATGATCTAAATTTAAAATATAAAAGAAAGAAATCATCAAGAACTATACCAGAGAAATTCATATAGTTCTTTTACCTCGAAATTGACGTGGTTCACTTAAAAACATAGCCAACAGAAAAACATAGCCAACACATAGCAAGTAAACAAAAAATTGACTGGCTTTCTGTTTCTCAATTTTTGAATTTCTCAATTTTCAACAAAATTTCGAATTTCCAAAAAAATAGATTGCTTTAAAGCTATTTGCATTTCAAAAACAGTTATAATTTACACTGTTTCGATATCATCAACCCAATTTGAGAAAACTCGATCAATAAGTAAATTTTTTATTTCGCTGAGAAGTCTAAAAATTAAAAGCGATTTGCGAAACTAGAAGTTAATCACGTTTTTTGTGACCTTTTACACTTAAACTGTTCGATGGTAGAGTTTGCTTCGTGTAACGAAGGAAATGAACTAAAATTAAAAAGAAATCAAACGTCAAACTCCGAAAAAGTAAAATTGAGCCTAAATTTTTCCTGAAAAAACAACGAGAACAAAATCATCACGATCTATATAAGAGTCTGAACTACGTTTATTGACTCTTAAAACCGAAAGAATTCAATTCATAGCAAAAAAAAAAAAACGATTTCCAACCGCAACTAGAACCCAGACCTGTGGAACCTTAAGCAGGCAGTTTATCACTACACTAAAGCGCAAATTCTCTAAAATAACTATGGCTTCAAAATAAAGCAAGCTCAAATCCTTACAGATTTACACAGAGGCGAAGCTGCGCTTCGAAAACACTTACGAGAACACGACCAAAAATCAGCTATCAAGTGAAATAAGAAAAAAGAGAAACAAGCCTCGAATTAGCAAAAACTCGCCTATGTGTCGGATTCGCATCTGCAACCTGACAAATTTGAGTCTCACGCACTAACCACTCAGCCACGGATGCTTAAAATCCCCAAAAACTAGCCACCAACAACGCAGCTACATATGCTAATAAATTTCCACTTCGATGCCGCAAAAGTAGCACTAAATACAAAAAGACATAATTTTGCATGCAATAAATCGCGAAGCATAAAGCCACCTTATGTATAAATTATGCATTTCAAAAGAATGCGAGATATTGAGTTGGAAAATTTCTGAAATTGAGTTTTAATTTTTGTTGTTGTTTGAAACAAATAAGTTTTTTTTTCGGTTCATTTGATGAATTAAAAGAGCATCAAAGGTGTGTACTTTTTAATATTCGAATATCAAACCACATGTTATCAATAAGCTGTAAAGGTGTCCCAAAAGCGACTTAGGTTGAAAAAAAAAGTTCGTACTTATACACTTTGCTTCGCAAGTGTAAAGAAATGTTGGTTACGGGAAAAGTGTAGTGCAAATTACAATGCCAATCTAGATTACACGATAATCAACAAGTGTAAATTGTTTACCCATTACTCGCTCATTGTTTTAAGCCCAATTTATCCTCCCAAACAAACTTACAAAAACTGGACGGAGGCCACTTAAGGGCGCAGAAGTGGTTGAAAAGTAATGCGTAGACCGACGACTTGTATGTTTGTCTTTTCTGCGGTGCTGTGGTGGATGAAAATGGGAGTCTTTCTCCCTCTATGTTTCCTCAACTAACCGTTGTTTTCCTTGTCCTCCTGCTGGTCGTGTGAGTTGGAGGAGCTAGCACTGGTGTTGTGGCTGCTGCTGCCCCCCTCTCCTCCTCCAGCTGTGCCTCCCACTGCATTCTCTATCTCGTTCACAGCTGCCACCGCCTCCTCGTCCTCGTTCTCGTTCTCGTCCTCGCCTCCCCCCGGGTACTCGGGAGGGGGATGACCCCCAGACTGCTCCTCATTCTCTGAGTCTCCTATGTCCGGCACATCAGCACCCCCTTCTGGATACGCCTGGACACACAATACTCAACGGTTGAAAACTATTCGCTGTGTTTATCAACATCGAACAAAATCAACCCAGACTTAAATACATCTCTGCATTCTCGTATTATTTTTGACGGGGACGATAATACTCAAATAATCAATAAATTAATCGAATGGAGCACTCACCTCTGCAACCCTTTCTTCTTCCATTGGCACGGCGTTGATGTCAACTTTCTGGCCTCTTTTATCTGAAACACGGACAACAAAATTACCTTTAGGATGCAGTAAAGAGTTTAATTAGGCACATGTTTCAACAGACTCCAGTAATTTGCGCCGCTAAACAACAAGTTAGCACGCCCACTTAGATTCAACGACAAAATCTATCGCATACGGATAGTTCGCACATGAAGTAAAGCATGAAACTGCTTCTTATACTGTCTGATACAATCAACGGTAAAAACGTTCATAACTTTCAATTCAAATCATACCTCTTGGCAAAAATTACTCACTCCAGTTGAAAGAAAATCAATTAAATATCGATAACCACCGACAGGCCGCAAGAGATTTGTTATAAAATGTATGTTTAAGTAAGTTCTGGTGTAGATTATGAAAACGTATAAAATTAGTCTGATTTTCACACCAATGCCTTTAATTAGCTTTTGGAATTTAGCACAGTTTTAGGCGCTCATCTGGCAACTGAATTTGGTATGAAACGTTCGATGTTTTGTAAGTGCTTAACGATTTGAACACTTCGCATAAAATGAGTTTCCAATCTTAATCTAATTTCAAACGTATCTAATAAAATAGAAAACGCGACCTAGTCCTTTAATTAAAGCCACCCAATCGTGCGAGCACTTGACACAAAACAATAGAGGTAACTTTTATGTGTAAAAAGATACAGTTACCTCAAAATATAACATGAGCGGATGTGGGCTGATTTGTGACATCACATGAATTCAGCAAAAAGCGCTGAGCCAACTACCCAAAAAGAAGCGTTTTTAATATTTGTTGGAAAAATCAACTGAGAACTTTTTATTTTCGCACTTTCTTTAAACAAAATGTTTGAAATCATGAATTCATGAGTTTATCTTTGAAATGGTTGAAATCAAGAATTGATGAGTTTCTCAAATGAACTTCCACGTAGAGGCTATAAGATTCATCAATCAATAATTTCATATTCTTTGTCTTTAATAAAACCTTTCAAGAAAATGATACCAAGTAATACCAAATTAGCATCAAAACAAAACTTACGAAGAAGTAAAGAAGCCGAAAATTTTTGAGCAGACACGTTGAGCAGACACTTTTTATTGTCCTCCCTCAAAAATTGAAAAAAAAATTTTTTTCCTTATTAAACGACTCAAAAATAGGCTGCATAGCTGTTGTTGTTGATGTTGTAATAGCTACGCCCAACGCCATCGTCTGCAGGATTTTGTGGGGTTAGCTTCGTTTTGATTTGGTTGTCATTGCTTTCCAGTACTTCTTTAGTAATTGATGAGGGGTGTGGGCTGAACTGCTGATCAAATTTATTGGCACATTTTTTGGCGTCAAAACTGCGTAAATTTTGTTCCTCATCATAGTAAATGACTTGATTGAGCGCGCAAGGTTTTCTGTTCGTCGACAGATTTATTTTATGGTACTCCAAAACTTGCTGGTATTACTTTTGGGTATCAGGCCATTTACAAATTCGACCAATTTTTTCCGCTTATGCTCCTGAATTAACTTATTCATGTTTTGATTGATTTCAGGGATAAGTGGATTTCCGGGTTTGATTCTTGAAGTGAGTCTCAGCTTTGTAGACGTCATTCCGCTAGAGTATCTTTCTCAGCTTTGTAGACGTCATTCCGATAGAGTATCTTCTATGAAGTTTGTAAACCCGTCCCGGTCCGCCTTGCGGAAGTTTCTAAATGTACGCTGGGAAGCCTCGGTATATTCAATGTCGCATTCAATGCTGAGAGTATTTGGTGTGTAGTCAGATACAAGTGCTTGGTGTGCTAGCCACTCAACATTTAAAGCTATGCTGGAACTGTTCATTCATACTTATGTCGGGAGCGCTTTAACAGAGGTTCGTTACTTTGGTGTGTACTTTCTCATTCAGGGCGACTTGGTCGGAATTATTTACTTACGTGGCTAGTTTGATGCCTCTGGCATCTGGGGTGAAGCTGGATTACCATAACGGGTTATGGGCATTGAAGTCTCCAACAATTATGCAGTCGTCTTGAGTGAGTAGGTGGTTGAGTGATGGTGAAAAATCTATCGTGCAGCTGGAAGTTGGAGGGATGTATATGTTGATGACCTTTCTGCTGTTTTTGCCAGTTTCAATTTTAATTGTCTGTTGCTCGATGTGAATGTCGCCGTTGGGTTTGCTTAGTTTCAGGGTGTGAAACGGCACACAATCTTTAATGATAAAGACAAGTCCACCCCCTTTGCCTCTGTCTTTGGGAAGTTTTTCTGTGATTATACTATAGCCCATGGGTGCTTTTATGGTGGCTTTATCATTAAAATTGGTTTCCTGCAGCGCTTCAACTCTAATTTCTTGGTTTTGCATGCAGTTTTTAATGTAATCTAGTTTCTGTCGGATGCCCTTGCAGTTGAAACTGGCTGGGTAACTTTTGCTGTCGTTGGCTTGGTTTTGGTCTGGGTTGCGATTATTTGGCACCAGGGGCGCATATAGGATTTTCTCGATCGGCGCTAATTTTAAAACACCTTTTTTTTTAGGCCAACTAAATTGATTTTCTGAACTTCTCTGCGTCGCAAGCAAATTTTTGTAAAAACAGGCCAAAAAAAAGCATTTTAGGGACTTTTTTTAACCAAAACTTGCATTTTCTCGGCGCGCGCTTGCCTTCAAAATTAGTATATATTGGCGCCAAAGGCACCGCTAGAAAATCTCAAATGTCAGTCAGACGAAATTGGATGTCCCAAAATAGTAGCAAAGGGGGGACCCTTTGGGTCGTCATCGGGTCGAATCCCTTAATATGCCCCTGACCAGGCCAAAAATCGCTGTGGCCTATATCCGTCCCTGACTGGGACATTTTTCATAAATATAACCAAACATACCCTAGGAAATCTAAAAATTAGAATCCACTTTCGAAACTGGAGGTCGATCATGTTTTTTGTGCTATTAGCACTTTCGTGATTGAAGAGCGGAATTTACCCAGCTTTTCGCAGATGAACTTGAATTGAACATTGAGTGAGTCGCGAAAAAGAAACGAAAGGAAAAATGATGGTTCCAACAAATTCTCCGAAAATCACCTCGTCTTGGGGACAGGGTAATGCTAATGTGCTATTTTACTTCTAACTTATTACATGCAATGCAAAGTCAGTGTAGTTGCCTTGTGTAGTAAAAAAATTTATCATGTTTTTCTATTCATTAGTGTCATTAGTTTCATATAAGAAAGTATTGATAACATTTCGGTTTCCGAAATTTTCCAACTAAATATTTTTTGGTAAATGCAATTTAATGCATGCAAAATTGGTGTAGTTGCCTGTTTAAAAAAACGTACTAACTATTGGTTTTATGATACAATTAACTTTTATCGGTTTATTTGATATTTGATGAATAAAAAAACATCAACTAAAAGCAACTACACTAACTTTGCATGTAATAAATAAGAATTTCGTATAAATAATGCATTTCAAAAATCTCGCAAAAAATATTGAGTTGAAAAATTTCGGAAACCGCCGAAATGTTTTTATTGTTTTGATACATAAACCAAATAACTTTTTTCGGTTCATTTGATCAAAAAAAATATCAGAGTAAACCCAGCTTAGACCCGTCTTTCAAACTGAATTCGGTGAAGCAAAAATGTAGACTCGAAATATAAATTTGGAGTTCACATTGCATGTGTTTTCTATAATTATTATTATTCTAACAACTTAGAGGGCAATCAGACGACTCAGCGCTTTTCACTGCTGAGATCCATTTTCTTGCGGCAAAGTAGCTCCACAAAACAAGAAACCCAAAAAGTATAAAGAAATAATCATCCAACTTCAAAATTGCAAAAAAAATAGGTTAAATGGAAAAGATACTTTACTTTTAGCGGATACAGCTATATCAAACTAAGAAAAACGCATCAACTTTTGCAAAATTGAATTTGCGAATTATTTTGAAGAGATCATATTCATCACTTCCAATTTTCATGCTTGGCTGTCTCTAAGCCATCAGAATGGGGTTGGCAGCACCAGTCATGGTCTAACTGCAGCTCTCCATAATATACGGTCTTGCGGGTCAGTTTGAGTAAGGCAACGTTCCTTGATATCATTTTTCACACAATCTAACCAAATCTTTCTTGATCTCTATCTTTTGATGGATGAAATCGTGATCTGAATGGCCATTCGATGCCTGAAATCGTGATCTGACTGGCCATTTGGATCTGATATCCATTTCGATATAATTTTTCACACCATCTAACCAAATATTTCTTGATCTCTATCTTTTGATGGATGAAATCGTGGTCTGACTGGCCATTTCGATGCCTGAGCGCATTCAGCATGTCCAGACCATCTGGGGTATCTGCTCCGAAGGAAATTGTCACACAAACCAAGTTTGTCACACAAGCCGAGACAATGTCATACAAGACGAAGTTATCCAGAAGTGCACCTGGGTCATGAACACTGTGCTTCATTTCGCCGATCGAACGGGACATTGCACGGTCATTTCGCCGTTCCAAATCGGATACTTCGGTACCCCAAGTTCCACTTCAGTTCAGCATCGTTGATCGCACCGAGTACCTTTTTCCAAATGTTCTTAATGAGATGCGCCTGAAAATTATTACAGGGAGTAGTTTCCTGAACCTAACCCAGACAGAGCAGCATCGGGCACACATACCCCACTAGCGCTGAAAATTTCACCCAGGCAGCGAAAGGTTGGCTTAATGACTTGGTCTGAGTTTTAGGCCTTGATTGTAGCCACGACTTAGGGCATCTTTGCCTTCGTAGAAGTTCAGGATGTAGCTCTCCTCCCAGTCTGCGGTGATCACGTCATTGTTGAAAGAAGCCTCAGTTAGTAGCTTCACCAGTTCGACAACTATATCTCCGGTTACCTTAAGCAACTGAGCTACAAGGCCAGCGGAATCATTTCGGTGGAAACTACAGGCGGCTGTCCAGCAACCGACGCAGTCTTCCGGAGCGTATCACTTAATCAATTAAACTCTACATTGATGAGTTTTACATAGTGCTCCGCCAACGCTTTCAATTGCTCCATATCAGTAATAGCAATCTCACAGGCATGATTGCGCACAAAATTCTTGGCCAAGATTTCCTGATTAGAGCGATTCATCTGCTTTGCGATCCGAAAGATACCATCGCCAGTCGGTGAAGCTGTGTCGCACTGTTTCTTCTGAGAAGCAGACAAGGTAGAAGGTATACTTTGAATTTCGCTTTACTTCTAGATGAGATTCTCGAGCCTTCAGGGCTCCATTCGCCGTGCTTATCTTCTTCAAGGCGTTGTAAATCTTGAAACATGCTCGCTTCTCTTGATATGTCGCCAACTTGCTCATCCCATTACCATGTTTCAGGTCTCCATTTGAGGTTCTTTGATAAACCACATACGTCAGTGGCAGCCTTCAGCATCGAACGATTCATGCGAGATATCAGT